TGGTTATGAATCTGCACTGTAAAAAACTCCCATGTAAACTGAAATGCGACAGCACAATAAGTAAAATAAATAAAATAAAATAAAATAAAATAAAATAAAATAAACTGCAATAGAAAGAGCATCAAGACCAGGAGGAAAAGAAAAATGACTCAGAGGCACTAAGATAACACACTGTCTGCTCAGGGATGAAGAGAGTGTTGGCGTAATGGTGGTCCAGATGTATCAGCCAGCAAAGAAACCCAGCAGAGCGAGACGGGTATGTGAGGGCTGCAGCTGCCTTGTTCCATCAGGTTTAAAAAGTCAAGACCAAAAGAGGATATGGAGTAAAGATTCTACAGTGAGGTAGCTTTACAGGCACATGAACCTCCTAATTGAAGGACAGTGCAGAAATAACGTCCAAACCTCAGAGAACTGAGAAGCTGAAACTGCAGACCACAAAATGAGATTCAGTTTTTGTGGACCAGCTAATTCCCCAGCAGACAGCAAGGCTATCTCATCGGACTGAGAAAACAGAAAACAGCGATACGAAAAGCAGCGTGATGGATGGCAGCTGCCGTAAGCGTGTTGTGGTGACAGGGCAGACAAAATGTAACGCGGGGCTGTCTCTGCAGTGCGCTGTGTGTGCTGCCAGTCTTCTCCTTCACAGATGGGCTAAGTAACTAATTAACTTCTGAGCAATTTTTCTCAAGTGTATTTAGCTTTGAATCTGCTGCTTCTTTGGTCACCTCAAGATGCCTCTGTTTCTCTCCACAGACTGTAAAAAAATCCTAGATACTCACTTAAACCAAGATGATTTTTAGATGACTAAATTTAGATGAGATGGAAAAGGGAAAGTGAGGGGGGGGGGAGGTAGAGGAAGAAAGTGAGAAGGAGAAAAAAAGGGGGAAAGGAAGGAAAGAAAGAAGGAGGAAACGAAAGAGAAAAGGAGAAAAACGGGAAGACAAGTCTGTTATTACCTGAGATTTTACTTAGATGAGTAGTTATGATGTGGATGTTGACTACTGGTAAAACTAAACTCCAAAGCAATAATGGTGAGATAAGAAATGAGAAGCAAGAGTGCTTGAATCTTCTCACGTATTTCTGAATGCAAGGCAACATTGCCCATTTTCTGAAACATGGAAGGTTTAGATGTCCCCTACTAAGTCTGACAGAAAGTGTGTCTTGTATTTCCATTGGCAAAAACAAATCTCAAACCAAGACAAGCGTCTCTTCATTCTGCTACACTCTTGGGAGTCAGAGAATTCATCTCCATGACTTATGAACAAAATCTGTGGGTGATATTTTCAACCATAACTGAGCAGCTCAGACTCAAATAGTCAGATTTTTGTGGTAGGAAAGTCAAGCTTCCACTGACTTGGACACCTATTCAAGGCTAAGATTTTCCGTCTCCAGGATGGTCTCATGTTGAATGATGCTCTCAATGCATCAAGAACTTGATCTCAGCCAACTATTTTGCCCTGAACATTAATTTTCCTGTTTTCAGTTCACCCTACAAATTTATTTGGCTTGGCCAAAGCAAAGAAAATCCTAATTGTCACTGGTGAGTCCAGATTTCTGACCAAAAAGCAGTCTGGAGCTGGAAAAGACCCAGTTTACCCACACTGTCTTACAAGATCCTCTTAGATTCATTTGGTTTGTAGGAACCTTTTGAAAAACTATTCCCTTTACCCCATTTTTGTCCATGAACCCCACAGATTCTGGCTAATTGCATGCTGGCAACTCAGGGTTACACTGGAAGTGTGTAGGTGTGAGCTCTCTCTGGTTTATCCTCCCCCTTAGTAGGGGCGTAATTCCTTTGCTTCAGCACAATAAACAGCACGTTTACTCTTAAGAACAACAGATTTTTCTTTGGTGCTACGAAAGGACTTGCTTTGACGAGAATATAGGCGGAAAATTGGTGCTGTGTTCACAGTACACATACCTGTCCAGCTAGGGGGGCACTTGTACCCATTTCCAGCTACCAGAGCGAGGATGTGGTCACATCAGCAACACAACATGACGTCAAGCCAAACCTCAGGGCATTTCCTATGTTAATTATTGGGCAAGGTGTCCTGTCTACAGTTGTCCTACACATTTATTTCATAACTAGAAAAAGAGGTCTATTCACTCTAAACATATTCAAAAGTTATGGTGGTAATGTTTAATAAGGCCCTGAAATAACAAAGGAACACATTGCCAACCAAGTTCCCAAGGCAATGGCCATTATTTTAATTCTCTTACAATGTTCTTTACACCTGATTTTGCCCATTACTTGCTGGAGACTTATTTTACAAGTAATTTCCTTAGAAATTTACTAGAAAAATCTATATCATACAAGTTTTTTAATTATCAAAAAGTCATCATTTGATTTTTGTGGATAGGGCTGTGGCATAGCTATCTATAGGCAGTTCTAAATACTCCAGATATGTGAACTTTTTTTTTTTCTGTAAATGATAATAACAACCCACACTGGCTTAGCATCATTAGTGGAGTTCTAGTCCAAACCAAATATCCATCCAGCATTTTTCCAAGACCAGCCCTCAAAGACTGAAGCTAATTCAGCCCATCCAACAGGAGGTGCAGATACAGCTCCCTGTCTAAATCAAGTTGCAGAGAAGCAGAGAAAGGTGCGAGTCTGGCACACTGAAAAAGCCCAGCAGTGCCTGCAGAGCGAAAGCCCATCCTGAGATGACCTGCCATTGTGTTTGGGCACTCCATCCTCCACCAAATTTCTCAAGCCAGCGTGGCGGTTCACCTGCCACACTGATTTTCCCACTCTGAATCTATAAGGAGCCCTTCAGAACCACACTTCCACCCTCCTTGCTTCCCAGCCAGATGGGAAAAGAAATGAGCAGCCTGCACAGCTCCGGTGTGCGCTCTCGGTAAGTCAGTAAATATACATTGCCGAATCCCACCCAGAGTGCCGTGCTTTCTCTTGCACTAAATCGGACCAACTGCACAAGGAGGTCCACTGAAATCAGGCCTGTTACTTGCATGTCAAGGTCACTATTCAAAATGAAAGGTCACTACTTAGCCTCTAGTGAATAAAAGGGTTGACTTGTTTGCCCAACAGATAGCAAAGGAAATATTTAAATACGATACATAACACTTCTCAAAAAGAAAAACTTCTTTCTTGGGGAGTGGAACCACAGTAAGAGCCAAAAGGAGCCAAATTACACTACCCTTTTGGACTGACCACCTTACCACAGAAAGTCTCTCTGAATTTGGATGTCAGCTTTTCGATCACACCATAGGTCTCCACATAAAAGACGTGTTCATCCAGTGGTTCACTGGCCATTATCCTCAGGGATTGCATGTCTGCCCGGTCTACCCCAACTGCATAGATCTCTATGCCAGCCATCCGGGCGCTTGCTGCCACATCTTGAACCTGGTCTTGTGGTCGTCCATCTGTCACAACAATGACCACCTTGGGGATATTGAAGGTTGCTGGCCGGGTGCCCATTTCCTCAGTGAAGACTTCATCCATGGCAGTTTGGATGGCTAGGCCAGTCATTGTGCCAGCAGACAAGGGCTCAATGTGAGATATAGCCTCCTTCATAGATGCTTTATCAAAGTAGGTCCGGAGGGGAAACTCTACCTTGACGGTGCTAGCATAATTCATGACCGCCACACGGGTTGTTCTTTCACCAACGTCCAGAGTATCAATCATTTTTGACAAAAAGATTTTCACTTTCTCAAACTCTTCGGGTCGGACACTACGGGAACTGTCTATGATGAAGACGAGGTCTAGGGGCCGGTTCTTGCAGGCAGTATCTGTCAAGAAGGAAGGAAAACACTTCAGTCGTCTCCTACACAGGACCAGAGTTCTTACCCCAGGGCAGTGAGAGCTGTCGTGGCAAACTACGCCCACCAGAGAAATGCTGGCACACTTGATTCTCTAGGAAAAGGCTTAAAATTACAGTAAGCAACACATTATTTTATATATATGCAATATATATATATAAATAAGATATTTGCATGAATATTAATATATAATAAATAGTTGAACTTTTCTAAGCATTAAAAGATGGGTCCACATTTGAGCCCACAAGATGTCTAACTATCCTTGAAACTAAGGGTTATAGTTCGCATGTAACAGCCAACACAGAAACGTTGCAATGATATGTAAATGTACTTACTTTTTATTTTTATAAAGATAAAGTCTGAATTCCATTTTTATAGGCTACAGAAATAAAATGGTAAACCAACTGGCTAGATTACATAGTGAACAGATCCTAACAATATTTTTTAGGATAGTAACAATATAGATTCCTGATTAGGAATTATTTCTTATTTGTAATTCACAATCCAAAGCACACAACAAGAAGAAATAAAGGCCAACAGGAAAAAGATTCAAATGATGCTGTGATAAAGGCTTCTTTAGAAGGTGTTACTGTTTAAAGGCTTCGACAGCAGAGAAAAAATCAAACTTATTATTTATAAAGTAATTTTACATGTAAAAATGAACATTTACACAAATATTTCTAGCTTCTAAAATTCCTCACTGACATATAAATCTAGACTGAAACAGAAAAGCCATAGCTCAGATCGGAGATAAGCATCACGTCTAGGGAGACAAAAAATAATCACGAGGGCAATAGCAGGCAACGCAAGCTGTACATTCTCTGTCCCGATATCCTGACCTGACATTGACGATACCATCAAGGTATGGATTTCTGCTGCTGGTTTATGAAAAACAGACAACCCAAAAGCACAATATTTCTGCAA